CGCAGGCAAAAACAAGACTCTGGAATCTTGAAGGATGTCCTGAGGGACTTGTCCAACAAGAGGACAGAAGTTGTCTTGAGCAGAAAGACAGCAATTTTTCTGAGCTGCGCCATCGCTTGAGAACGCCTGCTTTCATGGTTTCCGCACATGTTAGCTGATCGTGTGTAGTTATCCTGCCAGCTCTCTGCATATAGCTGGCCAACCATCACATCTAGGCTGAAGGACTCCGAGACTTCAGACCCAGTATTGCATGCATTTTCCGAAATGCGGGGCTTGGAGTCAGGAAGAAGCAGGACTTCATATTACCTTTTGTCGTATGGCGCTTCACACCAAGCAAGAGGCCACCATGGCCATGGCTCCATTACCTCTCGTGAATGAATATGGGGAAAGGGCGATAAAATGTAATGTTGCAACTTGTTATATAGGCTTTAATCACTTACATTAAAGGGTAGGTTACCATACAACCATGCCAAAATTCTTGTAGTTCAGTAGTTAGAGGATAAGCGTTCAAATGATCTAGGTATCTGTTGCCTGGACTGGCTGGAGGCAGTGAAATGATTGAACGCGCTGCATCAGCGCTTCCGAGCAAGCAGGAACGATACGGATTTTTCCTAGACAGATTGTCTTTCTTGTCTATAGACAATCTATTATCTGTTGATCGGTTGAATCTATTGGTCGCAAGTTGATGTTTTGCGCATTCGGCGCGAGATTGTGACGTTGTTAGATTCCATAGATCCGAAGTGCTGCGCAGAAGCAGCGCAGCAGTCCTAAATTGATAATGACTCCGATTATCGCGCGAGTAATTCTTTGACGAAGTCACGTAACTCGCGCGCGTCATACCAGGTGCGGCCGCCAATGACCATGCCAGAAAAAGTCGGCCTGTTGACATCAGGCGAGAAGGCGAGCGTTCAAAACCCTAAGCGGGAGAAACCCTAAGCCGACAATCTTCCTACTAGTTAATAGATTCATCATTCAGAATCTTACTGGTTCTCTCATTTGTAATCTGATGAGCTGACTTTGTCTTGCTTCCTGGCGCCCTTGCTTAGGCTTCAGCTTTATTTCTGCTTCGTGCTTCTAGCGATTTTCGGACGCGATGTTGCAGTGTCACAATGCAGGCCGCAGCATCCTGAGCAGTCAGATCGCCATCAGTAGGTTTTCAGGAGGCCTGAAGAGGTCCAGTGCAGCCATACCCTTTCCTGTTGGACTAAAGAAGACGACTTCTCTTGTAAGTTTGCGAAGTTCTCCTATGGTGCACGTTCTTACACTCTCTTCTAGCATATTCTGCAGGCAACTTTCGGTGAAGTATACAGTAAAAGCTGAAGATCCTGTCCTCAAACTTTGTGGTCTTGGTATGTTTTGAAAAGCGCGCAGCATGGTGTTCACAGAGTCTTCAGTGCCAAAGGCCTGCGTCATTGAGCAATTGACAGGAACGAAGCACCATCTTACTGGGTGTAAATTGACAGAACAACCCCCCCCAAATATGCAGGTAGTGCGTGCTTATGATCCGCCTGCAAATGACCACAGCAACCCTGGAAAGGTGAGGCATCCATTTGCTTGAGCTTGGCTGTCAACTACTTTGTCTTTTGCTGTTCTGAGGTGGTTTGCAGGTGAGGACATACTCCTGTCAATATTTGGAGCATAGCCTTTCCGATAGATTATGTGGTGGTACTTACAGGAACAACTTTGGAGGAAGTGAGAAATGCCTGAGTAGACTGCAACTTCTGCTCAGTGGTCTTCACATGCGATACAAATCTCTAGAGATGCACATAAAAGGCCGTTTTCTCAGCTCAGCGGAGGGCGCCAGGTTGATTGTTGGAAAACCATACCCGAATACCTGAGAAAGCGACTCGGAATTCCCCTTTGCATTTCTTTTATGGTGGTTTTTACTAATCTCAGAAGAGGCATTGGAAGCTTGTTTGCACTTAAAGCTGAGATTTCATCTGGCTCAGCCTCAAGGTGTTTTGTCATAGCCCAGCATTTTTGCAAGGTTCCCAATCCTGGGAGCTCATAATATTCATCCTTGTCTCAGGACTCTAAGCAGACTCTCTGGCCAAGGCATCTTATACCAAGCGGGACGAAGTTAGGCGCTGCCCGGAGGAGTGCCTTTCTTATGGACGACGACTACGTGGGGATTGAAGAGCGTGATCATCGTATCAAGAGAGTTACAACACGCAAGGTATGCACAGCGGTTCGTAATCCAGGATTGAAGGATAATGGACACAACTGCTCATGCTGAGTTGTCACTGGCCACTACCTAATGATGAGCTAGAAGGATCTCGAGGCCTGCAGATTTGGACCTAAAGTCTCTGAAGATGCACCAAGTGTTCCTTTCACCTGTTTTGTAGGATATTGAGTCCGCTATCGAGGCCTTTGGGGAGGAAGAGGAGCTGGGGTAGGTACAGAATTGCGGTCCTAGTTGTTTTTCGTTCCTTTACAATTGCAAGTCCTGTCAATTCCTCGCATCAGCACTTCTTTCATCTCCTCAAGTCTTCTGCTTTCCCAGCTTACTCCCACCCGACCTTCCCATGCTGGTTGTTTGGAAGTCAGCTTATACCCCATTCTTTTGATTTCAAAAGAATACCCGCTTCCTTCACAGTTAGTTTGGAAGAAAGCGCAAGCTCCTATGACCAGTCGCTTAAAGACATGGAAACAAGCAAGGTCAGCCCTATGGACTCCTCTCTGATGCTTGTTGAGTCCACGGCTGCTTGTTGTGTCCACGGCTGCTTGTTGTATACACGGCAGTGAGTTTTTCTGCATGCCTCTTCAAGGACACATGTGATGGAGCATGGCTCCGCCTGATAAGGAAGGCTATCAGAAGCGATGCATCTTCTCTTTCTCGCTGGCAAAGCTGTACTCTGATGGATGCAAGCATCTGTTTCTTCAGGTTCCATTGAAACTTCTGATGTCCGAAGATGGAGTCATCCGGGGGTACCTGTGCTCAGCGGGATTCCCAGTGAGTGTTATCCTGTTGGGAAGAATGGTCATGAGTCGGCGGAATAAGGTTTGATGGGGCAAGAGTCATGTGCAGTTGGGAGATGCTTGGATTCTTAAGCTACCCTCCGTGCCTGAGCTGCAAGTAACGTTGACTTGAATGCGAGTGGCCTGAGAAGGCACATTATACTTGATCAGTCTTGTGGTGCGCCATTTCTGGAAGCCACTTGTGCTTGAGACCCTGTCCGGACCCCCCCATCTAACACCACTTTTTGATCGTGCAGAGTGAGACTTTATTTGTGGACGTGGCTGTGACTCAGAAGCAGAGGCTTGATCAAGGCTTTGAGGAGGCTAAAGCTGAGCTGCTGAAGGAGAGCGACCTCCAAGAGTCCTAGGATGGGAAGCCGCAGGCCAATCTGACGCGCCTCGTGGCTGGGAACATCCATCTGCCAGCATTTCTAGCTTGGGCGAGCACGGTGGAGAGCCCCATTCGGCTTGAGTACCGGTGAAATAGCACTTTAAAGAGAGGGCAACATTGTGTGTCAAAGCTCCAGGACTACCATATGCCAAAGTGCACCTCTTGCATAGTCCGTTTTAAAGTTTCGGAAGTGCTCGCTGGTCTTCTGTGGCCTGCCTTTTAGCTGCTCTCTTGGGGGGTTCCCTCTGCAGTAGTTTAGGATCGGGCTTTGGTAGTAGCTTTCTCCATCGTGTGCCAAGATCGGACGTCTAACATCGTAACCCTTGATCGACGCACCTGACTCAGTGACTCAATTCTTCAGCTTTCTGATATTGACGAGTCCGTTACTCGTGTTTGTCCTTTTGAGATACTTGGTGCTGACGCGATCGAGTTATTTGCATAGGGCTACGGATGATGCTTAGAAAAGCGGTTTTCTAAAGTTCGTCTCCTGATCTGAGCGCTTGGAATGTGCTTTTTGCCTCCAGTCCTTGGAATACAAGCCCACGCTTGGTTGCTAATAGCTTGCGTGTGTTTCTCTTGTGCAGCCACGTTGAAGGGCGTCTTGGTGACGTCTACGCCAGCTATGACCCCTCTGAGCTCCACGCGTGTCTGAGTAACATAGTGCTGACGGTAGTTCTGCAGGCATTGGACCAAGCTGGCGGCGGCGACGTCTGGTTCGAGTCGCTCGATTTTTGCTCGTCCGCAACTTCGATGTTTGGTGAGGACCACGAGGAAGCCAAGGAGCCGGACAGCTTTTTGGCCCCGGTGACTGACCGTAAGTCCGGGATTTAATAAAAGCCCTCACATATCTTGCATACTTGGTCGGAACTAGTTATCTGAATGACCATCTCATCCATTAAATCTTAAATTCCAAGATTGCTCTTCTTCTTTGGTTCCAGGGGGGGCTTGGTGGTCTTTCTGCTGATTGTGCCACGGAAAGCAGTGCCTACATTATGGTTAGTGCGGTTCTTCTGGTTGGATGCACAGTCAATATTTTCTGAAGAAGTCTTTACTGACTCTGAAACCAGTGCTTTCCATCCTCTCGCGATTCGAAGAGTCTCTAGCAGTCTCCATGAGATATAAGGCCGTAAACAAGCCTCCTTGTAATTGCCTTTGCCTGGACCCCGACTCCTTCTGACCTTACGAGTGTTCTGTTATTGCAGCCGAGACGGTGGAGCCCTCCTCGGTAGTTTGCGAAGCAGCATATATGAATGAGTGTAACGGCACGACTGCGCACCGACTTCTGGCTGCGCGCCAAACTCGCGGCCGCGCATCGTCCGTTATTATACGCTATCGACTTATTTGATATATCGAATCACTACACGACACGTGTCTGGGTTACTGCTTCACCGCGTGACCGTCCGATAAGACCCACGTGCACCGCGTGCGAGGGAACCGTCCGATGAGCTTTCGAGACTAAGCTTATGGCCGGCCGAGCACCGAAGCTTCTAGGTTGACACGTCGCGCTGCAGACTCAGACTCTTATG